TTATTAGATATTAATCCGCGCTTTACTTTTTTATATTAATATTATATACTTTTTAAAAAATAGATTAACTATTTATTTAAGATTAAATAATAAGAAATAATTATAGATAAAAATTATAGTCTAGATATCTAAATAATTTTTAATTAATTTCTAATAAATTTAATATTTAATTTAGCTTATTAAGTTTTTTTATAAATTTATAAAATTAATAAATAGAGAAAAGAAAATTATAATTTACTACGTTTTTAACGTCTATAATTATCTATTTAATTATATAAATAAAAAACTCGAAAAATTAAAAAAAAAGAGGATTTCTTAAAAAAAAAAAACTTTTTAAAGCTTTTAAAATGATTTATGAGAAATTAACTATCTATTATAATTAAATTTAATTAGATTTAGACTATCTATATAAATAAGCTATACTTTTATATCTAAATTATAATAATATAAAATTAAAAAGATTAAATTAAAAGATTAATATTAGAGAGAAGCTATAGATAAAGATCTACTAGAAAGCGCTTAAAAGAATATTTTAAAATTATTAAAATATTAATATAAATAGTTAATTATAAAAAGCTAAATAGATAAATTAATTAAATAAAAATACGCTTAATTAGATAATAGAACTTAAGATTTAAAATTTAGATAATAAAAATAAGTATAATTAGCTTTAGTAATATAGAAGAAATAATAAGTCTTTTAATTATTATTCTAATTATAATCTTATTTCTAATTTTTATAAAGCTTCTTTTACTAATCTAGCGAATCTTTTAATTTTAGAATAATAAAAGAAATTAAAGTTTAAATACGCTATAGTCGCTTAAATAGCTTATAATATTTTTTATTCTCTCGCGAAGACTATTATATATAAGCGATACTTCTTAATAACTAAAAGATATTATAATATTTAGAAGTATTATTTATTAGCGATATTCTATACTCTAATAATAATTCTTTATATAAAATATTAAGAAAATAAGCTTAAATAAACTAAATTTAATTTTAAAGAAGATCTTAATATATTAGATTAAATTAAAAGAGTTAATAATACTTTATATAAAAACTTAATTAATAATTATAATAATTATATTAATAAAGATAATAAACTTATAAAAAGTACTTCGATAAATTTAATATTTATAAATTTATTAAGATATATCGCTAATACTCTATAATATATAGAGAGATAATTAATAAATTTATAATTAGAGAGAGTTAGTAATAATAAATTTAATCTTAATAAAGAGATCTAAAGTAATTTGAAAAGCGAATTTATCTATAAATAGTTAATAAGTTTAATTAGATAAAAATAGATTTAAAGTATTTAAAAGAATTAAGATAGAGTAGAATAGAAGAGTGAGATAGAGTTTAAGAGAAGAATAAATATAAAGTTTATTAAGCTTATCTAACGCGTTAAGATAAATATATAAATAAAGATAATTATAGAATTTTATTCTTATAATATTTAAAGATTTAAAATTTAGAATATTTTTTTATATTATAATTTTAGAAAGAATAATAAAGACGCTTATATTTTTTTTTTTTTTTTTTTTTTTTTTTTTTTTTTTTTTTTTTTTAAAAAAAAATATATTTTTTTTTTTTTTTTTTTTTTTTTTTTTTTTTTTTTTTTAAAAAAAATAAAATTTTTTTTTTTTTTTTTTTTTTTTTTTTTTTTTAAAATTATAAATTTTAATTGTTTTTTTTTTTTTTTTTTTTTTTTTTTTTTTTTTTTCTTTTTTTTTTTTTTATTTTAGAATATCCCCCTAAGATCCCAAACCCATATCAGAAAAATAAAATAGTATTCGACCCTATTTATATTATACTCGAGTATGATATAATATCACTTAATATGAAATATCCTATGAAATATAATATCTTTTCATAAATCCATTATCTATAAATTAAATTACTATTTTATATTATAAAATAGTAAGTTTAATTATAAAGTTATTTTATATAATATTAATATAACTACTTATTTAAATATAGTAAAATTAAAGAAATTATCTATTTATCTATCTAGATACTATTATATATACTTCTTATTCTTATAATATATAATAGCTATAAGCTATTTAATTAGTTATTTAATTAATACTATCTATTTTATTAACTTATTATTTTACTTAGTTAGTTACTTAACTAGCTACTTACTTAATTACTTAATTTAATATTTTATAAGAGAAGAAGTAATATAGTATAAAGAATATTACGAAGTTAAGTAATAGTAGTAGTAATATAATAGATCTCCTCTTTTTAATCTTATATTAGCTTAATATTTAATAAGAGAAGAAATTACTATAGTAGATAAATGCGAAGAATATTATAAAGATAGTTAGTAGTAATAGTAATATAATAAATTTACTCTTTATAATCTTATATTAACTCGATATTTAATAAGAGAAGAAATTATTATAGTAGATAAATATAAAGAATATTATAAAGATAGTTAGTAGTAATAATATAATAGATTTACTCTTTATAATCTTATATTAATCTAATATTTAATAAGAGAAAAAACTATTATAGTAGATAAATGCGGAGAATATTATAGAGAAATTAAGTAAGAATAAAATTCTTAATATTAAGAATATAGACTTACTCTTTAAGATTTTATATTAGATCGCTATTTAATAAACGAAGAATATTATTATAATTTAACTTATTATCTTCGCGTATCTAGATAATATTCTATTATAATATATTACTATAATAAATATATAAGAAAAAAATCTACTACGTTAATTATAGCTAATTAAATCTCTATAAATTAAAGTTATCTATTAAATAATATATATTTAAACGAATTAAAATCGTTTAATATCTTATCTTAATAGCTATTTTAACTATTTAAACTATTATAGATATAAGAATAATCTAATTATTTTAACTATTTAAATTATTATAATTATAAGAATATCTTAATAATTTTAGCTATTAAAATTATCGTAGTTATAAAAATATCTTAGCTATTATAATTATAGAGAAATCTTAAATATTTTATCTATTTAAATTATTATAATTATAGAAATATCTTAGTTATTCTAACTAGTTAAATTATTAAAACTATAAAAATATTTTAATTATTTTAACTATTTAAATTATTATAGCTATAAAAATATCTTAATTATTTTAATTATTTAAATTATTATAATTATATCTAACTAATTAAATTTAATTTACTTATATTTTATTAGAAGAATATATTTATAATATAATATAGTAATAATTATAATTTAATAGTTTAATAATATAAATATAAAGATTATTATAATAAAGATCTTATTATTAAAGAAGGTTATAATATATATATATAATAAAAGAAGAAAAATAAGTAAAATTTAAAGAGATTTATAACTTTTCGATAAAGGTTTCGTCGAAGTTTATAATTTTACTTAATCGAGTTAGCGATAGAAGGGTAGGGCTATTCTCGCTTTAAATTATTCTTTTAAAATTCGTTGCTAAACCTATCTATTACTACAATATCGCATACTAGTCCGAAGGATTTTAGCTAATTTAAATCGACGCAACTAGCCACTATACAATATTATTATTGGAAATTATACTGCAGCACCATTGTGTGTTGTAGCTATCCCGTAGGTGGCAATTAGCATGGGCTTCACATGGTATATAAGTAACCTACATACCACTCCATAGCTAATCAATCCTTCAACCTCTCTTCAATTCCAATAATTGTATACAATGTAGGGGAATGAAACACTTCATTTAGAAGCACGCCTTCGTTTGGCTCGCCTGGAGCAGCAAGAAGCGCTGCGCTAAGAATAACAGCTCGAGAAAGATCTTTCCGAGGACGCGTCAGTCTGTGCTACCAGCTTGTCTTTGTTAAGTAACAAGAATTTCATCTTCGACATTCATGTACGTTCAACACTTTCAATGACCCATGATGACCTTGAACTATCACCTCTGTCGTAACAGACAGCCGAGTCCCATCCTCACGTTACGTCTATTAGTCTTTGTCCTCTTTCCGACAATCCCTGCTCTCAGCATCAACTCTAGTTTATCGACCCTTGGTGATTCCCTTGGCGTGAATTGCCGCGGCAGCGTCCTTTGTCCCGCATACCTAGAGGCCTTCCCACCAGACTACATAGGCACATTCATCAAGATCACCAGCGGCAGTATCACCGACTGTCCCCCAGACTTCTTTTGTGGTCCCATGAGTGACACGGATATTTACTTGCCAAACGATCATATCGTGTGCCTTCCAATCGGACGATCTTTCCTAGGTGGCATCTGCGCGTTCACACAAGGAAACAACTTGCCCACGACAGGGGTAGATGGATTTCTTATCAAGCGTAAGCTGCAAGAGCTCAGAGGCCATGGGTGTCATGTCTGTGGGAGCGTGCCGTTGAGTGGAGATAATGATCCGAGCAAGGAAGGAATCTTGACGGTGAACTATATTGGTGGACTAGCTTGTAAGGGGCTGTGCCCGTCGAAGCACTATACAGCGTTGTTGCAACTCGCTGCCAATATGTCTTGGCTAGGTGTAATAAACAGCACTCTTTTCGAGTCGTAGCTTGCTACGACCAAGTCCGAGATCTCAGACTTGCGAGAAAGGTTTGAGGCTGTGGCAGCTGAGTAAGGACCTATTGGGATATCATTGCAGCTAGGGATGGACTTGTCTCGCTGGCTCTCCTTTCTAGTCGGTGTTGTTGATATATGTGTTGTGGAGAGGAGTTAGGTAGAGAAGCCGGAAGTAGATATATGTCTTCGGAATATCACATCAGCCCTGAGCCGCACAGGCTATTCACCGCGCAATATACAACAACACCCACAAACCTTGAACTCATAGCCCTCTATACATTTGTAAACCATACTTTCTCAACATTCACAAACGTGGTCTACACCTCTAAGATAACGTCCCCACTGTTGCATACTTGACATATCATTGTCGACCCTGTTTTACAGCTGTACGCTCACGACATCAGGTTCCACGGGCATAAAATCATACAAGGCCTTTGATCATGCCTTCTGTTACCAGAATGAAAGCCGCGCAAGGAAAAATGGCACAGGAGAGACAGCCCAAGAAGCTTCGTTCAGGCCGTTCTTCTGGGAGCAAGCGGAGAAAAGCCAAAAACAATGCGTGAGTGCTCATTCAACTTCGGTATTCCCCTTTGCTCATACGATGTGAAAAAGCAGTAACCAATTAGCTCGCACTACACCAGCTTCAGATTCCCAAGCCGAGCCCAGAATACGCAGAAAGACAGCCGCGCAACAAGAGGGAAGGAATGCGAGAGACGCCCGACGTCTTGCTGCTGTTAGCGGTGTTGCCATCCTATCGAAGGTCCCCCCTGGCCAACTTCCGGACCAAGGAAATTGGGAAGAGGACGAGAGAAAGACATATCCATGTTCTATCTGTGGTAGGAAATTCGTAAAGAAAAACCATGTTAAAGTCCACATGGCAGCATGTGTTAAAAGGAACGGGAACCCCAATGGTGCACGATGGGATGATGCATGGAGGAACAGGGCGAGTCAAGCAGCGTCCATGGATACACAATCGAAGTAAAAAATCTTCATGCTGGTTTATTCTGACCAAAAACTGACTCTAGCACCACCAGTGCACCTCAAACTTTGCATATACATGACTTTCAAGCTGAAGATGACCAAACTGAAGACAAACAACCGGAGGACTACCAGTTTGAACACCACCAACGTGAGGATTTCGAGCGTCCAGATGTATCATTCGGTGGCTTCCAAAGAGACCATTGCATCTTTGACCACCTGCCACACGAGCCAGCCTCGACGTCCTCGCCTGGCATGCAAGGATACGATGTCGAACTATTAACAGAGAGTTCCCAGTCCGATGATCTTGACTTCATCGACCTGCAGTCAGCGTCCTCATCGCCGAGTGACCTGACACCATACGATCCAGACCTCCGCATGGACGTCTTGACGAATGAAACGCTACTTCTCATGGCTCAAGCATGGCAGAAAGCCATAGAGTACGTGGGAGAGACTCACACCGTGGTGCATCCGCATTTCCAGAGGATAATGGAAGAGCTGGGGAGGAGGGGTATGATCGACGAGAACTGGACCTATGTTGTAGACCTCGTGAGGGTGAACATGACTTGGAGAAGGGTGACGCTGGGGCCATGATCTCCGTCCCGATATCATGAGAATAGCCCCCAGAGGGCAACTGCGGACTGTATGGACGACCTGATGGTATTGGACCACTTGCGCAGCCAGGATGTTTTTCAATCACGAGAATACTGTGTCAGAAGGATTGTAAGTCTTATACAACATACATGTCAAGCATCCTTTGTGCCATTTGCAGTCATCCCACTCCTGAGGAGCACTGGGCTTCGAATGGAACATTCGTAATACTACTCCAGTAGACAAGCAAATATTCAATACTCAACAGTCTTGACTTCATTCATGTCATCCTCTCTTCACTATGTCAATGATGCTGAATTACGTCTTCCATTGATTTTTGGACTACTTCACGTACCTTTCTTCCAGCTTCCGCATGGTATGGCTCATCCAGTGTCCGCCAGGCGGCGGCTCATCGCACATCTACTTCCACGTCAGCGCCCACCCACCTCTCCTACTTTCCTGCCTTTCCTTTCACATCCGAAACTCGCATTAATTACCAGCGTATCATGCTCCTTCGCTTTGCTCACATAAGACTCCCGCACCGTGATCGACTCCGTCGTCATCCTCCTGCTTATGACCGCCCCGCGGTTAAGATTTTGGGCCTGAAACCCAGATTGTGTAGCACAACGCCTAGACTGTGCGTGAAGTAGCGAAATGCGGCTCGCTGGCCAGCAAGGTCAGCATGGCGGTCATATGGATAGCGGGGGAGGTGAAGAACGGGTCCATGCTGGCAGCGACGTCGCGATAGACGCCGAGGGTGACGATGGGGATGAGAGATGATCACGGTGGCTCTAGAGGATGAGACCCGTTGGGAGGAAGGACGGTGTGTGAGTTGACGAACGGAAGATCTGACTCTATCTAATAAAATCACATGCCAAGCGGAGTCACCATATGGCCCTCCGATATCACCACGGAACCATTAGAAATCGTCCGTTGAGTGGAAAAATGCATGACGACTATGACTCCACCACACCGTAATACAACAAAGACAGAACCAAGATCCGCTTCTATGACCTTCACAGAATTTATTTTCCAATAGCACTTCTGGCAGGTGGTGAAGCCCGGCGAATTGAGAAGGACGGCAAGTACATTCTTGAACCAGTCCAGACCCCATGTTGGTTCTATTCGTATCTGAACCTGGAACTTTACTTCTCATACATCCAGGACTACGTTGACTTCATGAAGGGGTCGATATCCCAGCACTGCCGGGGTTATGCTTGCGATGACGAAGACTTCGTCATCGAAGCCTGGCTCACGTTGATGTGGAGATGGTACCTGTTTCATTGTGTCCATATTTTCAAATAGGACTTCGATGGCATTTATGTCCCGCGCGTGAATTATGGAAGCCGACTACCTGGGTATTTAGTATGATTAAAGAACGGGAAGAACGGGATTTCCTCTGTCGAGCGCCGACACACTTTGACCTCCTTCGGGCGAGGCTCGATTCCATTCGGCTTCTTCCCTTCCTGACTGGTCTGCTGTCGGCTGCCTTCATCTTTTACAATCGGACGGCAGCCGAAGGCTGAGATCAAGCATCAGCAATCTTAGGTAGCAGTTAGTTGCCGCTTGCCACCAGAACTTGATCCGATGGTGCAAGAATGCCAGCTTCACATATTAGTCACTCTTAATTCACTTCGTCTGAGCTTCTCGCATACTAGTAGCATGATGTTCATCAGATTTGGAGGAAGTGAACCAATTGTATTCTGCTCACTGTTTCCGCCTATCATCGATGTTTGATAGACAGTATGGCGCAATGGCTTGCAGCTGGACAACCGTTAGGAGAGCAGTTGGAAGGCTTCTCTGGCGATTCTGCAGAGATGCAGGATCGAACTCCGTGATGAGGATCAACTTATTTTGTTACCATTGTCTGACTCATTTGTTGCTTGAAAGGATTAGATGAGAATGGCTTTTGGTTTTTTAGGGTACTTGTACTCGCAAAGACTAGGTTTGAATCTGACGCGCGTGGTGTGACACGGAGGGTTTCAGCGAGTTCTCTGTCTCCTAATGATGATAACAGAATTGGCGATAGCGATGAGGAAGACATTCTTGACGCAAGAAGTTTCCGTTCATCCTGCCGTCATTGCGGCTTTGTCATTCATGACCCAGAATGCAAAGTCGAGCGAAGACGCGATGAGTCCCCTAGTGGTCCGGGTTTTGCGTGAGGGTCTTTTGGAAAGCACGGCTATGGCTAGAGTCACGTGGGATAAATAATAACAAGACAATCTTACATTAAGATCATGATCGATAAAGATACCGTCGTCTCGAGTGCTGGCCGGAACCATAACTGTTAGTCAGACATCGGCTTTTATTTCGTCACATTGTGTTGTTGGCTTTTCTACTCATAGCGTTCCAGCCAATCGACTCGACTATGGAAGTCCGCTCCTAATATGGGAAGAGAGCAGGTATTAGAAGATAGAGGCGATCAGACAGTACTCAATATCTTTATAACCATAGTAGGCTTTTAGAAGACGAATGTGATCACCATCTCCACCCGTCTTGGCGGTCCCACCGAACCTCAATGCTATGTTGGATTGGTGCGTGCAAAGGATGCTGGGGTGGCAGCTGTATGGACCTCATGAGACGGTGAAAGGGGTCTGATTGGTTCCGACCTCAAATGGGGAAAGCTAGATGACCAAATGTTCTGCTAGGAATGAAATTTTGTAAATTGCTGGATCGGAAGAATTGGACTGCAGAAGATCACGCGTGGGTCTGCATTTATGTCCCACCAAGAAAAAACAAATGTAAGCCAAAATAGCAAGCATTCTTCAGTAATTACGAGCGTCAGCGGACGACCTGTTACGACGTAGGCGCGCTTCAGTAGGCAGCGCGTGGTCTCCATTGTCTACCAGCGCACAAAATTTCACAGCGCGATGGGAGAAACATTTTGTGAAGGTCTCTTGTTAGGCACGATTGTCTAAAAAAGAACCTGCAGCTGATCTGGCGCCATTCTGCCAAGTTGATGGTCTCATCCTCCAACAGACTGAGTTAGGCGTAGCCCTAAGATGATTTGCCAAGAGGCTAATCGTGTCTACCCCCATTTGCGCCCTACCCCTATTTGCGCCCATTTTAAATCCGATAAATCCGACATAGATAGCTACCACTACCATAACTACCACTTTTACTCTATTCAAATAGTTTACTATCATAGTCTATCATAATGGCTAATGCTACGGTACTATAGTCGTCATCTATAGGCCTGATATAGTAGACGTTGAAATTATCGATTTTAAAATGGGCGCAAATGTAAATCCGACATAGATAGCTACCACTACCACGGCTACCACTATTACTTTATTCAAATAGCCTACTATCATAGTCTATCATAATAGCTAATGCTACGGTACTATGGTCGCCGTCTATAGGCCTGATATAGTAGACGTTGGAATTATCGGATTTAAAATGGGCGCAAATGGGGGTAGGGCGCAAATGGGGGTAGACACGATTACTCTAAATTAGCGCCCGCGCGTACAGGCGACAAGAGTCATTCCACATCTGAATGAGCCTTGCTAAGCCAAAGGCAATCAACTTTCAGGTTCGCCATACTCCTGACTGACCACCGCTTCGCCGCTGACCTTGTCTTACATCTACTATGACGAGTCAGCTTGACAAGCTTCCCCATGAACTCCTGATAGGGATCCTGTCATGCTTGCCCAAGATAGACCTCAAGCAAGCCCGCCTTTCCTGCCATCGCCTACGCAATGCCGGAGACCCTGAGCTCTTTCGGCGCGTCTATTTCGCCCCACGAGAGAAGTCCATGGACGCCTTCAAACACATCGCTGCGAATCCTGCCTTCAACCGAAACATGAACGAGGTCATATATGACGGAAGGTTGTTCCAACAACACTTCTTGGAACCCGAAATGTACTACAGAGCGTACAATTTACATGTCCGAGCGCAGGGCGAGGATGGAGAAAGAGGTATATTGGCGGATTGTGACAGGGCCGAGAAAGAGATAAGGAGAGATATGAAGGATATCAAAAGTACCGGCTCCAAACCCTCTGAGAGGGAGCACGCCGCTCTGAAGGTTTTGCGGGAGAGGACCTACCATGGGAGGGTTCTCAAGAGTATGAAACAATACGTGCAATCCTATATCCAGCAAGAAAAAATTCTTGACACGGGCAGGGATAGAGATGTGCTCTTCGCTGGTTTGAAGCAGATGCCCAAGGTCTACAGGCTTTCGATAATCGATCAATTCCCCAGGGCAGATCATGCGTCGGGCATGGATCATAGCTGGTACCAAAAAGCGTCTACCAAAAGCTTTGCCTGCTCCCTAGAGCCGATGGGATGGCCTGTAAGATACCGGAATGGACTCAGAATCGTCTCAGACGAAGAGGTCAGACCATCCGACGGGCCCTGGGACTGCCGTGGTATCGTGAATATTTTGAAGGCTGCTGCAACGCACAACCCGAAAATAGACAACTTCGAACTTGGACTAGAACGCTCCAATGCTCCAATGAAAATCTTCCAAATGCTCTCCAACGATCGAACCTCAATCCACAACATAGCTCGCGGCCTGAATGATTTGGTGCTCAATGTGAGCCCACCCTGGGCTAGTGCTAATACCACCCATTGTTCTACGCCTGAGGAGGTTGCATGCTTGAAGTCTATATTGCAACAGACTACAGAACTTTTCTCTCTAGTTGCTAACATTTTTCTTACCTATAATCAGTGGAAGGACGTATTCTCTGAGCTCTATTTCCCCCACCTGATTACGTTGCACTTGGGCCGTCTGGCGTGCTGGACACCCAATGGTTTGATAGATCTGCTCGAACGGCACAAAGCTTCACTTCGGGAGCTGAAGATCTGCGAAGCCGACATGAACGCCGAAGAAGGAACTTGGAAGGACGTTGCGCAACGGCTGGGTCAGTCTTTAAATCTGCGTTACATAGGACTGGTCAGCCTGGAAGATGCTCTGCAGATTGGCCGCTTCCAATACTCCTATGATGGCTATTTCATGTTGGCCATGCTGTTCATGCCCTCCTATTCACCTCAAACACATTACCTTCTTGAGGGGCTCAACGTGATCGAAGTTGTGCAAAGGGATTACGAGCCGGGCCCCTAGTGTGTTGCCCTTGGGGCGAAAACAGAAAGATTGGCCTGACCACAAGATGGCGCGTTTCTTCTGACATTCGTTCCCCTTTACTGCCTTGATCATCCTAGTACAAGAATAGAACTACCATCGTGGCAGGGCCATTGGGCTAGATAGATCTCAAAGCTGCTATAGCTCAACGAGCAAAATGCCAAGCCCTGTATATATTTCCACTATCTGCGACACATGCAAAGCATCGGCGAATCTGTCTTCTAAAAGAGCTCTACCAGATATCCATCTGCATTTCGTTCTAATTCAATGCTTCAAAAACTGTGGAATGCAGATGGCTCACTTTTTTCGGATGCGCAAAAGAAGCAAACAAGTCAAGATTTCAGAACCGCGATTCTTCGAGCCGTTCACTTAAACGCCTCTTGTACCCATGCCCTATCAGGGAGAAACTTGCTACCTGACGATTCACGGAATGTCAGAGATCGCACGCATTACGCAGCCAAATGAAAGCTGGGAAATATTATCAATTTCACAAATCAGCGGTACGGACCGCTTCAACCTTTAGGAACGCAGACAGACCACGGCAGCAGCTTTCACTGCAAGAACATGACCTTTGTGATTCAGGCAGCTGCGGTAAGCAAAGCCATTCCCGCGCCTGCTGCGAGCACACTCAGCACCCAAGACGGTGTCAATGCGGTTTACGCGGGCCTGCCGGACTTTTTGGCCGCTGTCAAAAATCAGACACGAAGCGGCATGTATGAATTGGCAGCAGCCTCTTGTCAACCCATATCACACGGCAAAACCCAACCATCCATCCTCTCCGCTGCAAATCCTCCCACACGGTAGCACCAACACGAAGAAATACTGGGATCGTGGATCTTGGGGCTATGGAGATTCGAAGTATTCATGGACGAAAACTATGAATCGGAATAGCTATGTAATGCTTGCTGTGGACAAGCTCGGCAACGCAGCTTTGTCACATGCAGATCTGGTCTATGATGTGCAGCTACCACTACAAATGGAGACTGTCCACTCCATGATCATGCAGATCAAGGCTGGAAATGCTGGCATTTCAATCCCTTCAAAGTTGATATTCGTCTCCCATTCTTCCGACTCGATCGTGAATGCCGACCCTGCTCAGACGCACCCAGATCATGTCGATGCAGCAGTTTTGACAAGCTCTCTCTCAGGCGAAGCCAACAACAAAGGCGATATACCTTCCTGTCTCTATGGAAAGAAGTGGAGGTGATTTTGGAGAGGAATTTCAAACATGCGGTTGAGAAGGGATGGCTATCGACGGAGCGAGAGCAGTGTACGGCTTCTATTGATGTTCGAGGGGATGAGACCGAAAAGGTCTTTGGATTTCGGTATATGATAATTTCAAGGAGCAGGTGAAGAGTGTTGTTAGGTAGTATCTGGAGCTGAAAGGCAAAGGAGAGGCATACTGATTAATCTGAGAAAATAATCCCAAAAGACCAAGAGGATATCAAAAGCCGAGTCGTCCTTGATAAACCGTGTGTGAGATGTCAAGGGAGACGGCACGCGTGCTAAGCGACCTCTGGAAAGCGCAGTCATTATCTAGTAATGTCCCTTTCGGGGGTAAATAGAGCGCTTGACTCTGTTTCAATTCATCACACCGTCACTCCTATATTCGAAATCATAGGCGTAAGTATGCCATATAGATGATCGGTCCGGCTCGCAACAACTCTAACATGCCGGCCAGCATCGCCGAACCGCGGTACTTGTTTTTATGATAAAGCCTCACCATCACCATTATAAACCTGATAAACAGCGAAACTAGATCAACCACAGGTGAATATCTCACTTCTTATAAACAAAAAGCTGGCAGGACTCGAGAGTTGCGCTGCACTCGAAGAATTTGGTGCTAAAAAAACCCCGAACGATCTTCTCGTAATGAGAATACAGCTACTCGAAAACCGAGGCATTTTAGTTCGCTTACACTCTTCCAATGCAAAAGCTTTTTTCTATCCATCTGCATCCGAACTCGTGGCGCAGACGACGTAAAGGAACATTGAAATAGAGGGTTGAAGACCAAAGAGTGGGAAGACCGCTTAGTCGCCGCGCTTGGACGTGGGATGGAAGGATGTATATGTGTTGTATCTCAGTGCTGGATACTATTGGGTGTGGTATGCACTCAATGGTCTCATATCAATGTAGAATGATTGTTCATTGTCATGTTCTATGAAGAAGTATATAGTAAGGATGGAGGTAATTACCTATCTATGGTGTGAAGTTACGCTAAGGCTATTTACTATTATAAAGCGTAGTTATAATATCTATTTAGATCTTAATAGTATATAAAAATACTAGCCTTCTATTAGCTAATTCTAATACTCTTATATAATTTAAATAATAACTAAAAATACTATTAATTCTAATACTCTTATATAATTCGAATTTAGACTATTTCTTCTATTCGCTCTTTTTAAATTTAATTTAACATATAAATATAGCGAATTTATTATTAGTAAGAGCTTTAATAAGCTTATTTATAATTATATCGTTAGTAAATATCTATTCGAATATTATTACTTCTATTTCTATTTAATTAATATATATAAAAGAATAAGATAGAGCTAAATTAGAAAATCTTAAATTTATATATATAATTAGTATATATAAAAGAATAAGATAGAGCTAAGCTTGAAAATCTTGAATTTATATGTGCAGTTAATTATAAATTTAAAGTTACTACGCTCTTTAATTAGATCGACTAAGTTATCGCGGATAAATAAATTAGCGTTCGCAATTATTAAAAAAATGTAGTCGGATAGCCCTAACTAAAAAATAGATACACATTATTTGATTTTAGAATAACCTTTTTATTTTCTACTAAAATTTTGAAATTATTTTTTTAAATTATAGAACGAAATGTGGGCTTTCAGATAAAAAAAGAATCTTTAAATTTAATCTTATAATTATTAAAGCGCAAGGAATTCAAATATCGCTCACTAAAGTTCGCTCGACAGCCGGACAGCCCGCTCACCAAAGTTCGCTCATCAAAGATTACTCACCTATTTACTCGATAGCCCTAATCAAAAAATGATTATGAATTTAATTTATAGGCCTTTACTCGTTAATTATAAATTTATTAGATCTACGCTTTTTAATTAAATATCGCGAATAAATAAATTAGCATTCGTAATTATTAAAAATCTATAAAAATCTATATATAGAAATCTTATTCTCTAAAATAATTAGCTTTCTATAAATACTATTTCTTTATAATTTAATAAATTATAGAGCTTAATATACGCTTTCTAACGCTATAAAAATAATAAAGTTTAATCTATTATTAGTAAATTAAATAAATATTTAAATATAATAGTTATAATAGTTATATTAGACGCGTTCGAGATTAGATAATAATTCTTTTATCTATTTATATAATTATATTTCTTCTATAATTCTATTAATCTATTAATTATAAATATATTCTCGATATCTCTTATCTAAATATTACTAAGTATCTAAGATATATATTTCTTTTACTTATCTTTTAAACTTCTTATTAACGTCCTTAGGCTATTTCTTAATAAATTCGCTATTATTATTAATTAAGACTATAAGCGAGCTTAATAGCTATCTACTATTACTTATAAACGCGTTAAAAAACTTTTAAAAAGAGCTCGAACGGATTTATAGCTATTATTCTTTTTTATATACTTCTTCTAAGCTAGCGATAATATCTTTTAATCTAATAATATTATCTATTAAAACGCGTCTTTTATTACTAGTAATTAAGGCTATAAGCGAGTTTAATAGCTATCTACTACTACTTATAAACGCGTTAAAAAACTCTTAAAAAGAGCCTAAACGAATTTATAGTTATCGTTCTTCTCTATATACTTTTCTTAAGTTAGCGATATTTAATTAATCGCTTAATTAATATTATCTATTCTATTAGCTTAATTATTTACTTAGTTAGCTACTTAATTAATTATTTAACTTAATACTCTATAAGAGAAAAAGTAAAAGAAGAAATTATAATAGATAAATACGAAGAATATTACGAAGAAACTAAGCGATAATAAAGTTATTATCGTTAAAAATACGACTTAGCTCTTTAAGATCTTATATTATATTAGTTATCTACTTAGTTAACTATTTAACTAATTACTTAATCTAATACTCTTTCTATAAGAGAAAAAGTAAGAGAAGAAACTATAATAGATAAATGCGAAGAATACTACGAAGAAATCAAGTAGTAATAAGATTATTATCGTTAAGAATACGGCTTAACTCTTTAAAATTCTATATTATATTAATTATTTACTTAATTAATTACTTAGCTAGTTACTTAGTCTAATACTCTTTCTATAAGAGAAGAAATAAGAGAAGAAACTATAATAGATAAATGCGGAGAATACTACGGAGAAATTAAGCGGCAATAAGACTATTATCGTTAAGAATACGACTTAGCTCTTTAAGATCTTACGTTATATTAGTTATTTACTTAATTAATTACTTAGCTAGCTACTTAATCTAATACTCTCTCTATAAGAGAAAGAGTAAGAGAAAAAACTATAATACGTAAATACGAAGAATATTACGGAGAAATTAAGCGGTAATAAGACTATTATCGTTAAGAATATAACTTAGCTCTTTAAGATTCTACGTTATATACTCTCTACGATTTTATATTAAATTATTATTCGATAAGCGAAGAATATTACTATAACTTAATCTATTATCTCTATTATATTAATATAATATAAGTAAAGACCTATGAATTAAATTTATGGAGTTGGATTTTTCTAAGTTAAATCGAATATTAGCTCTAGTTCTAAGTTAAATCGAACTCTAATCGCTTACTATGCGTTTTTAACCTATATATAAATATATATATACGAAGAGAGGCGCGCTAAGGCCTAATTAGGAAGGTATATCGAGTGTAAAGAATTAATTTATAATAATTATCTATAAAAAATAGAGAAAGGCCATATTCTTATAATAAGAAGTATCGAAATATCGAAAAGAAATAAAGATAATCTGCTAATTAGTTGTGTAAATCCTATAATATCTCTTATTATAGTAAAATTTTTCGAATAATAAAATAACTATAGATATCGAACGATTTCAATTCATTTAAATATATATCGTTTCGAAGTAATAATTTAATATAGAATCGTGGAGAGTATATAACGTAAGATCTTGGAGAGCTAAGCCGTATTCTTGATATTAAGAGCCTTATTATTACTTAATTTCTTTATAGTATTCTCTATAGTGTTCTCCGTAATATTCTTCGTATTTATCTATTATAGTTTCTTCTCTTATTTCTTAATATAATAGAGATAATAGACTAAGTTATAGTAGTATTCTTCGCTTACTAAGTAATAATTTAATATAGAATCATAGAGAGTATATAATGTGGGATCTTGAAGAGCTAAGCCGTATTCTTGATATTAAAAGTCTTATTATCACTTAATTTCTTCGTAGTATTCTCTATAGTATTCTCCGTAATATTCTCTATATTTATCTATTATAGTTTCTTCTCTTACTTCTTAATATAATAGAAATAATAAACTAAGTTATAGTAATATTCTTTACTTACTAAGTAATAATTTAATATAAAATCGTAGAGAGCATATAACGTAGAATCTTGGAGAATTAAGTCGTATTCTTAATGCTAAGAGTCTTATTATCGCTTAGTTTCTTTATAGTATTCTTTATATTCGTCTACTATATTAACTTCTCTTATATTAGCTAAGTAGATTAATATAAGATCGTAAAGAGTAAGTCTATTATGTTATTATTACTAATAATTATCTCTATAATATTCTTTATAGTATTCTTTATATTCGTCTATTATAGATTCTTCTCTTATTTAACTAAGTGCGAGGGTATTGAGAGTAAATTAATGAAATTAATAGAATTAATAGAATTAATAAAATTAGTAGAATAGTAAAAGAAGAATAATTATATAAATAGATAAAAGGATTATTATTTAATTTCGGACGCGTTTAATATAATTATAATATTTAAATATTAATTTAATCTATCTATCGCTGACTTAAGAGAAGTATATAGAGGAGAATATATCTATTCGAACTCTTTTTAAGGGCCTTTTAACGCGTTTATAAGTAGTTAATATAGTAGTAAATAGCTATTAAGCTCGCTTACGGCCTCGATTATTAGTAATAGTAGATTTATTAAAAGATAACTTAAGGGCGTTAATAGAGGCTCTAAAAGGCGAGTAAAAGGGGTATATATATCTAAACTAAACGC